CGCCGCTTGGCTCGGCTGAGCCCGGCGGGGCGGGCGCAGGGCTGCGGGAGGGTGGCGGGGAGGAGGGGGGATGCCACCGTGTGCCACCTCCTAGCCCAGCACGGGGTGCTCCCCATGGGGGGAAGGAGAAGAGAGATGTGTGGGGATCGTTCGCACTGATGGGTGGCCGAAGCATTTGCTTCAGCCTTTTCTGCAGCCTGTGAATGCAGAGTCCTGGCTAACACTGTGCCATGGAGGCACCGAGCCCAGCGAGGACCGCGGGCTCATCCTTTCCTCACCCTCTTGAGAGGTTGCAAATGTTTTTCCTGCTTGGGGATGCTAAATCAGCCTCTGAGCTGGGAAGTCGGGTTTGCACCATCCCCATTTCCATCTCACCCTGCCAGTTCCCCACCGGCAGCTCCGCAGGGAAGCACTTCCCAGCTAATTCCCCAGCAGAGGTACCGGCAAATGGTTTCTGCTGGGCTCTGGACACAGCCTTAAAACCATTCCCGGGGGCGAAGCACCGGGTAAGATTTGTTAACATGCGGCAAAGCAGAGGTGCCGATGGGCGGCAGGAGTTTTTCCATCGATCTGTGCAGCACCTGGACCAGGCACGTGGTTTTCCATGTCACCAGGACCTCGGAGTTAAAAATACAACCTCACATGCTCCGTGACGGCTCATTCAGGATGCGGTTACCAACAACAGCCCATCACGTGCTGTAAACCCCAGCCCCGGCACTTGGGGGCCACAATGGTACCCACACTCCGGGTCACGGAGAGGAACCTCTCACCCAGGTTTTATATATTATATTTAATATTCAACAGTTGTTAACAGAGCCTGGACCCCCAGGCGGTGCAAAACACCCCCATGCCTGTCAGTGGGAGCCAGCCCTGGGCTCAGCCACAGCAGCTCTGCCAGGCGCGGCTGTGAGCACAGCAATTTTTATGAATAAAATATAATCCTCGAAATGTAATACTGACACCAGGATGGAAAGCAAAAAAGTCATGAGTCACAGCTCCAGCCCTGTGTCCTTGTGCCACTTGGAGCACGCCCACAAGCGTCGTGCCCCGAGGGTGACACCTCTCCAGCACAAACTGTCCCTCCTCTTCCTCACCCCTTCAAAGAATTATTTTTTCAGACTTTTGAAAAAAACATCCCCAGCCCCGCAGGCTCCCCAGGCCCAACCCCGATTTTGTCCCCAGTGCCCCATCCCCTCAATGCACTTTTCACGGGAAGGACCCCGGGGGAAGCACGTGTGTCCCTGGGGCGACCCTCAGGCTCCAGCACCCCCCGGAGTGAGTGGCTGGGGATGCAGCAACACAGCAGCCCTGTCCGTGCACCCCACGAGCGGCAGAGGACGGCCGCCCCGAGCAGGGCTGCAGGTGCAGGGGACCAGCTGCGGCTCTGCAGGGGGCTGTGGGGGGGAATTAGCTGCAGCTGAGCCCCTCTCCCACCCCAGGGTATTTGGGGAGGTCCTCAGGCTGCAGCTGCACCAGTGCTAAGGCAAGGGCAGCTCCAGGCTTAACTTTGGGGCTGTGGCAGTCAGATGATGGCTCCCAGCTTTCTCTCCTGCTGATCCTACAGTTTGGGAGAAGATGTTTTTTTTTCTTTAATCACTTTCTGTTTTATTTGATTCTGCTTTCTGATGAATTCCTTAATTATGTCTTATAAAGACTGTTGTAAGATGCATTAGCAATAATTTCTTAGTGGCTGAGGTTGGCATCGGCAATTAGTGCTGAGGACCTCTTACACAGGCAGCGTGCTTGGACCAGTGCAGCCAGTGGCTTCTCATGCTGTTGGATTGTCTGGAGTATCATATACTAATGAAATAATTGTAAGTGGAGATCTGCTTTTTTTTGTTTGTGTGTTTTTTTTTTTTTTTTAAGTATGACCTGATTATTGAAGTGAAGGAGGTTTTAAAAAAAAAAAAAAAGTAATCCACATTGGTGTTTCTGCAAATGGAAAAATAAGTGTGGAAACACTGGGGCATTTCTGCATCAGCATCTCCCCCTGCGTCTGAGGAAGATGGGGTGGGAAATGTGTGTTTCTGGGGTACCAGGACGCTGCAGAGCCAGGGCCAGCGGGGAGCGGGAGCTGTCTGCTCATCCCCAGCCTGCGTGTGAGGTAATGGCTTGAAGCCATTAGACCCGTAACACAACGCTATAATGGCCACTCCACCAATTACATGACATTTCATGGGTTTATAGCAATTAACTGCGTCAGGTGGTGTCATAGCACATTACGGTTTATAGCTTAATATCGGCTCTAACAGGGAGACGCTGTGTGCAGGATGGGGCCGTTGGTGAGCATCCGCCGGGTGGGGAGGAGCGGGCTTCCTACGGGGGGCTCCCCAGGGACCGAGACCCTGGGGATTATGTATCTTTGGACCCCTCTGACAGACGGGAGAAGGGGCAGGATTGTGTTTACCAGCAATTCACCCTGCACGCAGCACCCCGGCTGCAGCAGCACCTCTCCACTGGCCCTGCCCGAATCACTCCGGGAGGCCAGTGCTCCCTTATTTCTCCTTCTGGAGCGGTGTTAGACTTATCGATATGCACCTCATTCAAAGCCAAATGATTTTTACTGCTGAAGGAGGTGAAGGAGCCATCCTAGTCAGGCCTTTCAAATCCTGCTCTCAGAGCAATGCTGATGCTGCCGGCATGGGGCTGTGCCCCCGGCTGGGGAGGGGAGAGGAGCAGATGTTTGAAAGATTTTTTTTTTTTCCATTCTAAGAAGTCAGTTCTGATAAAATACACAATCACATCTGAAAGGGGCTGGTGTTATTAAGCAGTCAGATGCTGGGCAATTTGTATTAGGCTCTTTGTTGCCACCGGTGCCAGCATGTGTCTTGCTGCCTGGGCAGCAGCTGGAGCAAGGAGCATGAGGAGTGTGCCTGCTCTGAGGAGAGGAGATGCTGGGGTCGGGGCTGAGCTTGGAAATCCAGCAGCTCTTGATGCATCTCAGGACCATGAGCTTGCAAGCTCGGCTTTAAGCCCCGGCAAAGCTCTCCTGGGCAGCTGGAGGGAAATGCGGTTGGTTCATGCGGCATTTATGTTTTGGGAAAGATTTTTCTAGCTTCTTTGCAGTGGCGATCCCTCCTGTAGCACAAGCGGGTGATTCCCGGTGCTGCAGACACAGAGGTGGGATGGGCTGATGGGGAGGGCTGGGAACACGGTGCCATGAGATAAGGGGACTGCATCGTGGGAAACCGGCCTCGGGGGACCTGCTGCCCAAAGCAGCCGCTGCAGATGGGCCGAAGGACGCAGAGAGATAAGGATAAGGTCACTCAATCCCTGGGAGAACTCGCTGGGCAGCTCAGCGGCAGGAGGTTTGCAGGAGGCTAAATAAACCTCTGGGCCGTGTCCTGCCGTTTGCCCTGAGCTGCCGAGGCAGCTGCAGGGGCTCTGGTACCACTGCGGGCCCTTGGCCAGGCAGGGGCACAGGCCAGCGGGGCTGAGCAGTTTCTGAGCGCCGGTTTACACCCTGCCGGGGCCAGGCTGGACAAGCACGTGGCTCCTCGCAGGGCACCGGCTCCCGGCCTGTCCCAGAGGATTTGTTTTCCTAAAATGGAAACGAAAGCTGAATTGATTTATTTTGTTTGGCAGCATGCAGAGCAGGGTAAATAATCCACAGGAAGCTCCAGAGCTGTCCACATACACCAGGCATCTCCAGAGGCCCAGTTTCTTCTCCTAGAAGAACAGGGTTGGTCTTTTTTTCTGACTCCCCAGCTTCTGTGGCAGGAGCCGGCCCGTGCCTGGGCAGAGCCGTGGCCAACGGACGGCACAGCAGCTCCCAAAGCTGTGTCCGGCTCTGCTCTGGGCAAGCATAGCTCTTGCATCCACGTGTGCCCATGGCTCAGGACACGCAGAGATGCACTTGATGTCTCTCGTTTGCTCCCGGCACACTCTTAGATCGTGCTGCAGGGTCCTCAGGTGGCTACAGAGACCCTTTTGTTGCCTGATGGGGACGTTTGTGCTTTCCAGCCACTCTGGGAGCCTCTCTGCACAGCTCTGAGCCGTGCATGTGCAGGAGCTCAGCCTGTCTTGCTCCAGCAGCCTCTTCCTTGGTCCCCCCGTGCTGCAGTCCTCCCCTCGGCCCTTCCAGGCGATGTGCAGCTCTCCAGGCTCTCGCTTGGCAGCTGGTTCTTATTCCTGCAGATTATCTAATCTGGGTTTGCACAGGGGGGTTGATATAACACTTCTGGGTGTTTTTCCTTTCCAGAGCATCCCTGGCTCCCCGAGGGTTTCTCACTATTTCTCAGACAATCTCGGGCCCCTTCAGTACAAGCCAGTCCCTTTTCCCCCAGAGAATATCCTGTAACCATCCAGGTGTTTCTCTGCTAAAGTCGAGGTCATTTGGGGTTTTTCATGTTTCTCTTTGGCAGTTTCTCTTCTGTTGGAGATTTTGCTTTTTGGCGGTTTTGGTCTCTACTTGCAAAGCAGATCTCATCTGCTTTAT